AGGGAGGGAGGGAGAGGTGTGTACTGGCAGCTTTGCAGCAGTGTGCAAAAGGCATCCTGACATTTGGTCCTTTCCCTGGGCTCACGTGGAAGGGGGAGCTGCTGCCTGCCACCCTCACCTGTGGCCCTTTGCCCACAAAAGGCGAGGGCTCCCAAGCTGAAGATCAACAAATTAGTCTTCTTCTCCCCTTATTGCAGAATGCTATCCATCTAAAGATTTCCTTTAATTTAGAGCTGTGTAGAGTTTGAAAAGCCCTTCAAGTTCACTTGGCCTGATGAATTGGTAATTGAGTGTACCTGGATGTCGGTGCCGTCTTTGCTTCTCTCTGCATTTGTATCAGTCTGTGTTTGTTTTCCCGAGCTGTAAATCACTCAGAGCTTGGAGAGGCTTTTATCAAATCCTTCTAGGAGCCAGTTGCTTTCCCTTTCACAAACACATTGCTAATGCCACGTGGAACCCACTGGCTTTGCTGCTCATTTAAAAACAATGAGGATGTTATTAAATGGGAAAAAAAAATTTCCTTAGCAACGGGGGAGAAGGAGGAGGAACAGAATTGCTCCTGTCTCTCTGGTGCTTGCTCCTTTGGTCTAATATCTGTCCCATTGATCTCCTAATATGCTCTGCTTTGAAAGCCTGATTTATTGCCCCGTGCTCTCTTATCTCCCTGCGTGTCTCAGTCCGTTAAAGCACACATTGTTCTCAGCTTCATTAGCAACCAGGCAGGTCGGCTGCCAGCCCTTGGTCCAGCCTCATGTGAGCAGCGTGCCACCTCCTGGGCTGCAAACTGGTGTCCACTTTCTCTGCAGGATCTCACCTGCTCTGGCCAGCCCTAGGCATAGAGAGTTAAGCACGTGGTTTAAGGGCTCTCCAGCATGTGCTTGGTGTCCACCTCTCCAGGGGTCTCTGACAATACCTGGCTCTCTCCATCAGCTCTAGAGGGCCCACAGCTGGCTCTGTTCCCATGTGACCCATATCCATGGCTGATACTCAGTCCAGTGAACCTGCTCTAACGCTGACAGGTTTGGCAAAAGGGAATTTCAGATGAGAGAGGTAACAGTCCTGATTTGCAATTCTTGGAGCTGTTCTGATCCCTCACCCAATGGAGGAGCTGAAGCAGCACCACGTGGCTGGCATAACCCATCAGCACAGCCAACGTTCTGAATATCGATTGTTTTCAGTGAACTGTTACAGTGCTATTTGCTCAGGGGAAAAAATAGCAAGTTATTTCCATTAACAAAGAAATGTGAGAACTTTGCAATCTACATGTGGACATTTCGTGAGCATAAAATGAGGTGAAGTTTGCCAAAGTGATTATTCATTACACATTGTTCATTCAGCGCTAATTGCTTGGGTCTAGCTGTTGTTAGAAGGACTGTGTGATACCTTTGTAGTACGCAGTTAAGGTCAGAAAAGTGTCAGTAGAAATGACTTCATGTTAAGTCAAGCTTTTCTTTGGGTCTAATGGTATATACCTGCTTATCTTAGCAAGAGAAGTAAAGGATGCTGCCTGGCCTCTTGTTGTCACCCTGCAGCCCAGCTAGGTAATGGAGAGTGAATTGTGCCTTATTGACACCCACTTTCTCTGTAGAAGGAATAATTAAATTCACCTGCAGAATCCCCATCTTCTCATGCATGGCAGTGTGCAACTTCCCTGCATATTAGCTAACTAGATTAGAGATTATGCATGCCGGGATCACTGATGAGAAAGCACAAGGTAGAAAGGATCTGGCTTGGCTTTCAGATCCCATGTGGTATTTGCAGGACTTACACTTAGGAAAAGCATCACCTTTTTTGCTTCTAACCTGACAAACTTTGTCTGAAAACCCAGAGGAACAAGCAACAGGGAGCCCCACTGTCTGTCTTTCAACAGCATTTTCTGAAATGGAGCTACACTTTAAAGTCTCACCAATTCAGTCTTTCACTTTACAGAGTATATGCCCATCTCTAAAATACCAGGTTATTTTTTCTTACACCCATAATATTCTCATCTGACATTCACTCTCCTGGAAATCACCAATCCAACATTCACCTACCTGCATTCAAATATCTGTCATTGTTCTTGCGCTACTGTCCTTCTCCTTCCAATTTAGAGATTATATTTCATAACTGACCTCCAACTACCTATTGCCTCCCCGTGACACTTCTCACCCTTGTCTACCTGATTGATTAGTCTATTATGCTCTCCACTCTCCTGATGACTTACAGATTGCCCGGTATCTGTCACAGGCTTGCTTTTGTTCTGTAATATTTATACTTGGAGTTTTGCAACACCCTCCAGCTGCCATCCTCTCTCCCCGTTCACTGTCCTCCGCCTACCTCTCTTGTGAATGTCTGGTTTGGAAAAAGGAGAAGAAATCTTTTGCGAAAAAAAATCCTACCTGCTGCGAATTCACAGATACGCTGGTTAAAAACCACATTTAAGATGCTGCCATTTTCAATGGGGCTCTTTATTTTCTTTGCACCATTTGGAGGTAATAAAATGTCACCAGATCAGACTGGGATCAGTGACATGGTTTAGAGGACAGCTTTCTCCAGAAAATTTCCTCACCTGCATAAGTCAATGAAACGGCAACAGAACAGGGAACAATGTTGTGTTTAAAGATGCATGTAGATGGGAGGGTTCTGCCTCTGCTGGGGGAGAGGTCTGGGACGTGTCCCAAATCCATCCATCTCCCTGTGCTTGTCAGAAGTTGTCCAGCTCTCTGATATTGTTCAAGGCTTGTCCCAGCTCTGTCCATCACTCTGACATTTAATTAACTGCCCTGTTCTCCTGGATTTTGCACTGGATTTGTGTTGTCTTTCTGAAATACCTCTTAGGTCATGTCTGAATATTACTAACAGGAAGAATAATAAAATGGTTGTCACGAATACTGCTATTATTGTTATTATGTTGATCATAATAAAACAAGACATTGAATATCACAAAGATGAGTACTGTTACAATCAGTGTCACTTCTTCTTGCTATACTGGTTGTCTCACATCACAGGTGAGCCGGAGCTTAACAGCAGTGGTAAGCATAGAGAGCCCTGCCCAGCCAGGCATCGAAAAGTAAAAGAAAAACAGAGAGGTGGTTGAAAGTGACCAATGAGCACAATAAAATCACACTTAAGATTTAAAAACACATTTATGAGACAAATCCCCAGGTGTAGGGATTATTATTAAGCTTATTAAAATCTCTCTGTGCTGGGTGGCGGGTGCGGGTGGTGGCAGTGTCTCCTCGCCCCTCCAGGAGCTCTGCACTGATGTCTGTGTGGTACCATCAGCCCTGTGCATGCCCAGAGCTATCCGTCTTCCCTACAGTCCCAGGTCCCCTTCCAGCATTCCTTACAGTCCCTCCTCTGCTGGTGGGTGGATTTCTTTTCCCTTTTAGTTACTATGTTGAGCAACTGATCTCATTTGGAGCTCCCCTTGGTTCTCTTCCCATTTACATCTGATCCTTGTGTCTCTGTGTCTGATCCACGGCTTGAGTAGCTGTGCTGTCCCTCGGATGGTTTCATGTTAATCAAGCCATCAATCAGTCTTTTAGACCCCTTGATGGAATTCCTTCTTATGTTTTCTTTTTTTCCCCTTGCAGTTCAAATACCCGGCTTGGTGACCTTCTTGTGTGATCTTGAATGCTGCGTGCAGCGTGCCTCCCAGCCCCTGCAGACAACAACTAGGAGATATTCATGACCGTAGAAGGAACCAACACACAGGCACAAAGGTAAGGGGTGACTTTGTCAACTGCATCTCTGGAGTGAGAGAAGTAGCTGGTGTGAGACGTCTAGCCATGGGAGAGAGCCAACGGGGATCACGTGGATGGAGCAAGTCTCTGGGGAGGGTTCAGGTGCCTGGAAATCTTCACCCAGGAGTGGATCATGAAGGGAAGCCTCATGGCATTCATTTCCAAGAGGGAAGAGTCTGGCACAGACATGGACAGCAGTCCAGGGTTGTGTTTCTCACATTGCGTTCTTGGGGTGATTTCTCTGAGTGCTGTCCAAACCTTCCTGGGGAAAGCCTGGGTGGCTGAGCTGTGGCTGCTGCCCTCCTCAAGTTGTGGTAGCAGTGAAAGTTATCATGGTTATAATATTTATTTTTATTTTTTTAAGATTGAATTCACATTATTCTATTAAGATTTAAAGAATATCTCCTGTTAAGATTTGAGGAATATGGAAAGAGTGCATTTTTTTCCCAAGATGAGCACTGCAATGTGTGCCTCCATACCAACTTCTACAAAATTGTAATTTACAAAACAGAAGAACATCAGGTTCATGTTGTGCTGTAACTTAGTTTTCTAAGACCAGAGTTTTCCCTGTGTTCCCTGTTAAAATGACTAGCTGTGCTGGGCACTCAGAAATTTTCCCCCTCTTTCTCATCTCCACCTTGACATTATGGAAAGGGTTTTCATCAATCCGTTGAAAGAAAGAGATAACTTTTGTATAAAAGTGCACAGTCGACAGGGTTGAGTTTTTTGGGTAGTATATAATTTTTTTTACACTGTTATTATTTAAAATATGCTTTTTAAGAGGACAAAAGGGAATAGTTTAATGGAAACAAATTTCTATAGCAAAATGTGCAGCTGGATGAAAAAAGATTATTTCTGTTATTACTTGGGTAGACAGGTGAATTCGGAATTTGAGTACAAAAGGTGTTAGAAAGTGTGCTTAAACTTCTCTTCAGTGTGCTGTTGAGATTGAAAAGAGTAATTTTTGGAGAAAAACTTTTCTCTGAGCCTCCATTTCCAGCATTGTCAAGTCTATAGCAGCGGCCTTTTCCCACAGCTATTATCATGTTTTCACCTTTTCTTCTTCCACCTCATTTGTCCTTTTTTGAAGAAAATGTAGTGCTGGTGAAAGGCGGGCAGGTCTGCCGGCTGGAGCTGGTCTGGCTGGGAGGAATGGTGGGGCTGGAGGTGCACTGAAGGCCAGAGGGGACCAAGAGGTTGCAGTCCCTGATGGGAGGGGGAAAAGATGGACAGTCTGGTTTGGGGGTAGTCATTTTGAAAGCATCTACAAGTCTACAGTTCTTAAGACCCCCTTTCCAAAGTGACTTTTAATCAATTAGGAACCTAAGCGTCATTGAAGATAAGCAGAGCTTAGGTGCCTGGGTCCATCCAGGCAGACACACATATCTCAGCAACACAGACAGATAGACAGCGTTGCCTGTCCTGATGGATCCAGACCCAGAGCCAGGCAATGAATTACAAATATAAGTGCCAAAACAGCATGCTTGGGACACAAAGGATAAAAGACAGTTGTGTTATTTGAGCTGATAAGCCCTGCATCTCAAAGATGCTTGCATCAAAGGCTCCTGCAGAGTTTTCACAATTGAGTGTTATACCATCCAGCACTGAGTTACAAAGATGTAAAATGGGACTTGCAGAGAAAGCTTCATGCCTGCCACAAAGGAGCAGAATAAGAGTTTGTTTTGAGAACTATTAGGCTGAATAATTTGGGATTGGTCTCCGTGGACACTGTGAGATATTGCTCCCCACAGAACAATGATTGCCATTAATGCCTCAGCTCCCTGCCTCCTTCCTCCTTCTTCTCCCCAGCCTCTGCAAGGGCTGGGTCAAATGCTGCCCAGCCAGCATAAACAATATTTCCCCCTTCTTTGGTAATTATTGTGCCTTCTATTAATTTCTCATAAGCCTTTTCACAAGCAAGAGGTATTTTCAAGGGTTGCAAGCATTCATCTCAATGTACATTTCCACAGCTATTCTCCTTGGGAGAGCTGGAAAGCTAATTTACTTTATTAGACCAAATGAAAGGAGTTTATGAAGGTAGCCCGTGCAGCATTGTTCAGGGCATCAGGGATCTAGAGAGGAGAGTCTTCTGAGATTGCCACTGAATTTCTTGGAGAAGCTGAGAAGTAGCTGAGCTGTTTAGTTTGGCGCCATTCTTCCTTACATTGTGCAGGCTCCCTTTCAAACAGCCGATGCTGAGATCTTCGGCATGATCCCATCACTGCTCTAGCCACGAAGGCTTAAGAGCAGTAACATTTGTAGGGAATCATAACATCTCTGGATTGGCAAGCCTGGAGGTGGCTGTGCTTGCGACCCTGGATTGCTCATTTAGGGACCAGGTGCCCAGGTGACTGTTGAAGGTCCACATGATGGGCAGCCCTGGCCAGCCTGTCCCTGATGTTGGCAGGTAGCTGGCAACATCTGACTGCATGGACTGTCCTCTGAGCAGCTTCATGCAATGTGCAGATGACTAAAAATCATCTCCTGGGCAATTCACTTCATTCATCAATTAAATTGTTTGCTGTGAACAGTTTGGCCCCATCCAGCTCCAGGATTTCAGCCTTGTAATTTTGCTGGCAGAGGACAACGGTGCCATGTCCGTGAAATCTGCCTGCCAACTGCTTCCCATGCTAAGCATTTTCTAGGCTAACGATCCTGAAAACCTTGCCAGCAGCCCCAGCTCTGTCCCTTTCAGGGCAAGCCACTCATTTAAACGTGAGCACCTCTAAATGACTCCATCTGCTAAGTGACGTTAGTAAAGAAAAGATTATAGCAGGAGTTATTGCTGTGTCCTCGGGTTATAACCCTGTTATAAAATGGGCTGGAAGAACAAGGGGACTGTGAGGAGCTGAGGCTCAAAACCACCTGGGTGACTGTCAGCTTGATTTATTTTCTTGCTTATTAGATAGATTAGAAAACTGGCAAAAGAAATCGTTGCCCACTCTCAGCTGCTTGGTAACCTGCCACGTGGCACAAGATGCTGGCTGCAGGGAGACATGTCTCCTTCCCACCTCCCTGGCCCCTCTACCCCGGCACTGGGGCAGGGGGGCAGGGACACGGGATGGGACTTGGGTCTGCTGGTGTCACACATCTCCTTGGCGGTCCTGTCATCCTAAACCACCTCATTGAGCCATCTGGCCGACTGCTGGCAACCACCAGTTTTGCTTTTCTCTAACACTTGATTTTTGAATAGCAGCGTTTTCTAGGTGAAAACAGCAGTACCAGTATTGCTTTTGAATACTAGCTGTGACCTCAGAACTATTTGTTACCCTCATTTCACAAATCAGACAAACTAAAACAAAGTAACTGGCTTGTGGCAGTGTTGTCAGCCAGGACATGCTGCCTTCAGAGATGCTGGTCATTTTGGACTTTGGTATTCAGGTGACTTTTGATCAATCTGCCTCCAGCAGCCACCCTTCTTTCTTATGAACCTGGCTAATTTTTGTCTGTCAGAAGGCTGGAGATTAATCGTCAGACTTACTTTAAATCCCTGGGTAAAATTCACTAACCAGGAGGTCGGACTGCAGTTACAGTGCTTTCTAACCTAAAAATTCAATGAAATCTTCAGACTACGTAACCAAATGTTAGATTTGGATAATTTAAGCCATCTTCAGTATGTTTAGCTACATCTGATGCACTTCCATAGTATGAAACGAGGCCACTGTTATACACATAGTATTTACATAGGAAGAAAAGCTTCCAGCCAGGATGAGCTATTAAGAGATTGCAATGCATTTCTCAGCCAATGTGGAGGAATCCCCGCTGCAAACAGATCCTGAAACCGGGGGAGAAGCGGGGCGGGCACCTCCTGGGGAAGGACATCTCGGAGATCCCAGCATTGCCGTGCCACTGCAAGCAGTTAAGGCAATACCTGCCCTGCAGATCATGGTTGGAGCAGATTTTCTCTGCTCTCCACGCCCCTTCTTCTGCCCATGGGAATTCTGCGCTGCCCGCACAGGGTCCTTGTCACCCTGCCTCTGGCAAGCGCTGGGACGTGCGTGGCCCCATGGCTCAGCCTCCCGCCCAGTGTGTGCCTGTACGTGCAAATGCTGCCAGGCGGCACAGGGCGGAGAAGACGGGGCTAATTCCTTCCTGAGATTCTCAAGGAATCGGCTTATGGCCTGAAGCTCTGATTACTCTTATCTTAGCCTGCATGATGGTAACCACATCCTGAAATTACCTGGCTTTTTTTCAAAATCCAGGAGCTGGGTTGGACTCACCTGACTGACATGAACAGCCCTCCTTTCACCCCCATTGAGTTCAAGAGAGGCTGTGAGTTAGTGCAGACACAAGGCTGAACGTGGGGGAAAAGGTTTGAACCCCCAAATGCATTTGATGGGAAGTGCCTGGGTGCGATGCCCAGTCCCACCTGCCAGACGTGATGGAGCCTGATGCAATGCAGCCCCATCAGCCCCTTTCCAGCCGCCCTGCTGGAGCTAGGCACTCAGGTGGACTCACCTTCTAGGATCCTGGCAGCTAACGTGCTTCTGAAACGGCCAGCAAGGGATAGATGCTGTCAAATAAAACCCTGACTGAAATGTTTGGCTGATGGGATTAAACTGTGAATCCCACCTGTCTACAGCGCGAGATGCGTCACTGCATTCTCCCACCTGAGCTGCTCCCTGTCTCCCACTGCTGCCCGCCAAACCCACCCTGCTTGGAAATTAAAGTGGGGAAATCAGTGGCCTCTTGGCCACTGATATTAACACCAAAATGGCTGACATGAGCTTTGAAGGGATTTTAATAACCCCCTTGCAAGCCTGAATTGCCCGCGCAGCATGAGGTCTGGTGTGCATTTGGAGACCTGGTGCTGAGCCGTGCATCGGGGGCTGGATCAGCTCCCCTGGCCGTGGACGTGGGGCCAAACCCGCTCCAGGAGCTGTGGTGGCTTCTGCCCATGCAGCCCCTGGCACAGAACCCTGGCAGCTGCCTGGATCCCAGAGAGCTGCTGCTCTGGCACCCGCTGCCCTGCAAGCACC